TGATGATGATGATGATGATGATGATGATGATGATGATGATGATGATGATGATGATGGAAACCAACAAGCACACACATGTATGTGTTTGTTGGTATGTGCGAATTTTCGTGTTCGATGTCTGGATCACAATCTTTCACACGGTCATAATGGATTGGTACACAAAAAGACTCGATAGCATGCACATTATATATGTATATATCATTATGAAAAGCTTTAATTGTGTTTATGATTGGATATACAGTCACATATGGAGCAGACTAAAATTATTCGCAAGGTGTAGCGGAAGTGATTTGTGCAGAGAAATGCATCTTCTTACATATTCAATGATCTTTTAAACCGATCGACAGATCTCGTTATTTGTAGTATTGAGAATGAATGGTGAGAAATGAAATTAGACATCACAAGAAACATTGATCCTGGATCTCACTGTCCCGGTAGATGCGGAAAGCCAAGAGGATAACTCAGAGCCATGGAACAAGATTTTGTGGAGCGAACAAGTCTTTCTCTGTTTCGAGAAGCGGATTGCCACTTGAAATGGTCGGGTGCGGTTGTGCGTGTAATCCGGTTGAGGCCATCATGTGACTGGTATAGGGACGTGAAGTTTGTGGCCACTCAGCATTGTACGGAAACAGGGGCGTTTGTGTTGCGTACGGGGCTGGGATATACGAAGCCACGGGAACGGCCTGGCGGCCGGAGAATTTCTGACTACGACGAACCAGTGAACGTCTGGATGGTGTAGTCGGTTGGGATCGAACCTCGCGATAACCCAGACCTCGACCTCTATTCGGTTCGTACACATGGGCTCGTGCACGCAATCGAGGCGATGACCGCTTGTTGACGGGATTTGTCTGTGGTGTATCAATACTGGTTGCCACTGGGCCAGGGGTGACAGCGCTCGGAGCTTTTGTATTGGAAACAGTCTGACGTGAGTTCGGTAAGGTCAGACGACACAAATTTGGGGCAGGACGACGAATTGCACGCAACGCGCGTTTTAGGCCATGATTTTGTTTGCGTATTCGCGACAGGTGTTCCACCTGATGGGAATAAATACGTAGGTGTAGGCAATGTGGAATGCGGAATTTTTCAACCAATTGTGCTCTGTCTACCAGCATACACATGCACACTAACACATGCATGCAAAATCAACCAGAAGGAACAGAACATCTTATCATAATTGAGCGTATGTAGTGTTCCCAAATCACGTG